GTTTTTCTGTTTAGTCTAAAACTAGGCATTACTGCTACTGCTACTGATGTAATTGGTTCGCGTCGGACGCGCGCGGTGAACAGTGCTCGGCCCGTGATACCTCTGCCGGATTTTTCCCCCCGAAACAATGCCAATTGCGCCGAACAGAATTTTCCAGCGTGTTCCATCGCTTCGAACGAGAGATACGAGAGAAGTGATGGACATATCGTGTTATAAAAAGCCGAACGAGGGAAAGAACAGGGCCAGTTAAACAACATTCGAGAAGAGGATTTCAAGAGCGTGGAAATCATCATATTCTTCGCGTCACGCGCGCACTGTTTACCGAGAAACCTTCAGCATCAATCGAGCCACCTTTGATACCCTGATGATGTGTAAGCTGCGTAAGAGGCGTAAGTAAGACTTGTCGCATTCCACATGTGATAATATATAAATCTTACTTTCGCCGACTTGCTTGCAGCCTGCTGAACGTTAGGTGAGAGCAAAACTCTTTAGCTTTTCAACTTCGCAACGATACTTCTCGAACCGTGAACGGAACTAGCAGATAGAACACAACAAAAACGACGAAAGTTTTTTGAATCATTCTTCTTTTCAAATTCAATACTATACAAATACACTCTCTGCCTCTATCTCTATCCGAGTAAATCTCAATAATATCAGAGGAATTGCCGCGAGAAGATGAAGAAACAGTTAATCACGTCACGAGCGTCTTGCAATCACCGTTTGCCTCTAAACAGATATGAAACACCACCAAAATTCGTGAACGGAGGAATGAGAATGGCAAGGATCGCGTGAGAAATTGTTTGTTTGATCGTTCAATCGCAACCTTTGCCATTCCTCGTTTCGACGACGATGTATGGGAAAAGAAAAAAAAAAAAAATGTGATCGTGCGGAGGACAAACAACAGCGAAGAAGAGAGTGATTCGTGAGTGATGAAATAACGAATGATGACCAGCGTGTGTGCGATACATTGACGAAATGTTAGAAAGCGAAATGTGAGAGAAAAAGCAATAATCGGGTTCGTAATCGTGAAACGTTACGAATGAGGAAGGGGGGAGGGGAGGAGAGGGTGGAGGAGAGTCTTTTTCAATTTCAAGAGTGGCCAGATCTCCAACACCGAAGAAAGAAAGACATGCAAGATCCTCATAGAAACCTAAGCAAAAAAGTTCCACCCACCGAGAAGCTTTCGGGGAAAAAAAATCAAATTTGCTCGAATCGCTTCTTTTTTCTTCTCTCTCTCTCTCTCTCTCTCTCTCTCTCTCTTTTTAATCAGAGACTAGATACTGTTACGTAGAGGTAAATCTTTTCAACGCGGAAAAATTAGGCAACTTAGGGAAATTTATAGGTAGAGCATATGTCGTGTAGATATAGTCACCCTTGCCTCTGTGTGTTCCAATAGTAAAGCGACATGAAGGAATAGTAATACGTTAACTTGATTGCTCCAGCGGAACGTCGATTATTCGACGAACTGCGGAATTCAATTATAGCACGATTATAGCACAAACGAGCGAATAATAAAAAGCCGATCCGATGATTATTTACCAGTTATAACTAAAACGAATTGTCGATGATCTCATAGTATTCGTAATATAATCGAGACTCCGCTGGTTTATTCTTGGAATTCTCTCGGGATCTTAATGTTAATAGTTTGTACAACTATTCCTAATTGATGTCAATACACTGAATACCACAACACTGCACGCGCAAGAATGTATTTAATTCTTGTCGGACGACGGCTTAATACGAACAATTTGCATGCATTTCAATTTCATTTGCTGTTTCGATTTTATGTACATTCAACATTTACATTTCTGGTAGTCAATGTATCGATCTGGACGTTGGACAGATCAGATCAATCCGTCATCATTGTCAAGAGACATTTCTCACAGAGAGAGATCATCAGCAAGATAATGAACGTTTGGAAAGAAGCTGGTCAAATCTGACGATTAATCTGAGTGCCATAGGAAATCAGTGTCTCGAAGATGTGCACGTCTATCGTTTCGCGATCGAAAAACATCAGTTTACCACCTAGGAAGGAACGTGAAGGAGGGAACGTGAAGATCGTTCAACTTACCCAATGATGGTATTGGTGGCCATAATGAAGTCGGTAACAAGCGTATTCATCACATTCGCTTTGAAAAGCTTCGACTTTGTTTGAATATTAAGGAACTTATCAGGACTAACGCGTAGTCGGTACACACCGCTGGTACTCTCGCCGACTTGAAGCGTATCGTTCAAATGTGCAGTTAGCTTGCTGAGGTCATGAGGGTGGCACAAGTCCTTTATCGTGGTACCAATCAGCTCCTGCAGCAAAACATATTCGAACAATTCAACGATCAATTTTATTTTAAATCAAAAAGAGAAGAAAAAAGGAAAAGAAAAAAGAAATGAACTCTAAGACTAAGATGGACGTTTAAAGACATTGAAGAGAAACAGTACGGTCTTTACCTTGCTTAGGTACTCGGAGTAAGGAGGAGATAACCAGATAACATCAACCGCGATAATCTTCCCCGTGGTGTCCAACTTGACGGTAAATTGCTCGATGGGCGTACCGATGGGCTTCTCGTTCGGGGGTATCCTACGAGCCACGCACATTACGCAGGGGCCGTTGTCTGAAGATTCAGACGATACGTCACCGCTCTCCAGACGATCACTATTATTTGGCAAAAGAGCTGAACAGATTTGCATAGACTCGTATTTCGATACTCGTTGCTGCTTCTCTTCCATAGTCTCTTCTTTATCATCGGGAGGCTTCACCAAGAAGCGGCAATTGAAGGTACGGTTCCTCTGCGGCTGCTGCTCGTTCGTCCAGCCTGCATCACAAAACCAGACCTGTCACACTCGTCCCGAGTTCAACTTGACTAAGTTGATCTCGTCTTAACTTTTAATTCGATCTTATCGTATCTCTTCGAGTGAAAATTGAAAGGATCCCGCAAAGCACGCGGAAAAAGTCGAAAGATTGAAATTGTGCGGAACTTAGAGAGAGTTTGTAATTTATATATCTTGTATAACTCGGCAGACGTGTTACTGTTGCGCATTGTTCTTTCAAATTGTTCTTGAAACGTGTAATTCACTCGATTTTCATACACGTTTCGTGCAGAAACGTAGCGTGTGAATATTTGCAAAACTGAACCGAACTGGAAATACTCGAGTCAAAGCGATGAAAATTTTCGCGTATGCTGACAGGTAAGAGGGAGAAGCAAGGCTGTGCCGAAGTGCAACGTGCATCGCAATTTCTGCTACAGAATTTCGAAGCTGTCCCCTTTCGTTATTTCGCGAGATGAATCTTCCCCGATCGCATCCGCTACCGAACGACTCCACAAACAAAGTGAGACAAACTGAAAAGTACACACTTTAAGTGTTACTTCCTCCCCCCCGTGAATAGATGGTGAAGTTACATTATCGTAACTACCGCACTCATAAATAATCGTTTTATCATGTACACGCGCGAGAGACTCGTGGAAAAGAGACTGCGAGGGGAATTCATCAAGTCATAAGTGTTTTCGTTGAAAAGGATGAGAAAGAAAGGAAACAGGTGAGAAAATAGGAGGAGGAGGAGCAGGAGGAGAGAAAGAGGTTAACGAGACCAAGATAGATTGAAATTAAGATGAAGGATGCGAGGGAATGAGAGAGAGTGACGTACTTGAAAGACGTAGGTACTAACCTAATGGCATAGGCAACAAGCTCGGCATGAAGGTGTTGTGATCCCCATGATGAATAATATTATAAATATCCTTGCCGAGAACATCGTCCTTCGTGTAATTTATGTACTGAGTTATGTTATCTGTTACGTACTCCACTCGTCCCTCCGTATTTACAACGAAAAGAAAGCCATCTAACGCCTGGGCAGAAAAAATTTCGCAACAAATTAGATTCCATATTCCATTAACATCCCGTTTGCGTGTCAATGCGATTATTGCCACGCTATCGATGAAAACTGAGGGAACAACGATTCAATAGATTGATGAGAACTGAATCATACCTCGAGTAAAATAGGACCAACTCGATCGTTGGACAGTATGTTAGGATTCGAAGAAGACACTTCCCCCTGTTGCACGGCATGACTATTCGAGCCTTCCTGTTGCCTAATGTGCCGAATCTGCAAAGAACAAAGTAAAGTAAAGTAAAGTAAAGTAAAGTTGCACACCGTGAGAAATTACTTGAATTGTCAAGTCGACAAACTGCGAAAGCACGTGTGTTAAAAAAAAAAAAAAAAAAAAAAAAAAAAAAAGAA